AATAATGTAGATTCCACGTTGGGAGAAAATTCCAACGCCACACACGTTTTGTCCGAAGTTAATTGACAAAATTTAAAGTTGAAGGAAATACAATGTTACTTCCTGAGAAATTTAACTTGTGTTTCTATTAATTTCTAAAAATGTAATTGAATACTGAATAAATTCTGAGAGACTCCAGAAAAGATTGAGATTTGCCATCAGCTCTACTATCAGAAATCTTTTCTATTTTTTTTCAATTATTTTTCCTATTACTATAGATTAATCCCTTTAGTTTATGATTATTTAAACATGTTATTAAAATGTTAATAGGGAATATTCACTTTGCCGGCAAACCTGGAGAATGATGGTGTTAAAACTACGTTTTATTTCCCATGACATTGCGATATTGTTCTAAAAAGAGATGATTAGAATTAGAATACAATCTAAACATATGAAAGTGAATTCATTCACTTTTTTGTTCTTGAGAATTGACAAGGAAAAAGTAATGAACACTATGGAAAGTGCCCTATCGAACTATATTACTTGCTTCCGCTAGGTCTAACCATCACGACTCGGACCCACCATGTCACTTACATTGTACCAAACCACCCACATTCCCTCAGTATTCCAAGAGAAGTACCGTAATTCACTATTTATAATACGCATTTTCTTTAAAAAAAAAAAAAAAATAAGCAAAGTTAGGGGCGCGTATTATGCACAGCTACAAAAAAATCTTTTAAAAATTGGTCATTACTCACCACAAATATACAATTTGGCACAAACATTCAGCGAGTGCTACCCCATAAGAATGTCAAGTACAATCATATGTAATTAACAATAGTTACAAATGTAAAATAAAATGAGAATTATCATAAATGCTAAATTAGAATAGTATTATTCTATGTTTAAAACCATTTTTAAGAGTAGATAAAGCTGGCAGTAACGACTTTGGGGAGGAACAATTTATAGTGCTTAATTTCCAAACAAAGAATGCGTATTATGCGTGAGTAGAAGCACTTACCCGCAGTTTTAGCACAAATTTTGTGGTGTGTATTATGGAAAAAAGGCATATTATACATAGGAAATTACAGTAAGCTCCACTCAAACATTCTTCCTGCGAACCACTGATCAGTGGATCATACACCCAAGAGGATATTTCCCTTATCACTACAATCTTAACCTGTTTGTCTAGAGTTAACCGTTATCTTCCCCTCATATCCGTATAAACTTCCTCTTAACGTCTCGATAGAATTAAATGTAGATGACGAATTATTTTTCACTCTCCCACCTCTTTCTCACAGGCGGAATGTAGCGAGACTCTTACTGCTTTATCGCTGATGGAAAGTGCTCGAACGAACTATAATGCTTGCTGCTGCCAGCTCTAACCTTCACGACTAGTATTCGCCATGTCAATTACATTGTAGCAAATCACCTATACTGCTTCCGTATTCCATCGTTGAGAAGTTTCACTGGAATAGCTTCTTCCTGCGAACCACTGCTCTGCGAAACAGACCCCCCAACAGATTGTTTCCTCGATAACTAAAATCTTAACCGATTCAAGTCTAGAGTTAACTTATCTTCTTCCCCTATTCATATAAACTACCCCTTAACGTAAACTTCTACTTTGAGTGATCCTGGGCCTTGCACAGGGTGAAAAATTACAGTACAAATAAAATAAAATTGTTTATTTACACTATTTATTATATTATTTAATGGAAATTTTGGCATAACATGGGCTAATTGCTAATGGATTCAAACTTTATACAATGGAAAATAATCAGAATTTCCTTATAGTTGACCTATTTTAATAAATTTATTATAGAAAATTGTGTTCATATTTATTTCTTTACAAATTGATAAATGATAAATATTGTATTGCAGTAGTTATAATTGTATACGTTTTTAGAATGTTGTAAATATAAAATTATTCTTGTAAATAAACAATGCTTAATATTTTGGTATAAATTCACAATAACTCAAAATGTATGAATTAACTTTTCATTATATGTTTAGGTTTTATTCCACTTCTAACCATGGCTTTTTAATAAAATAAACTTTGCCGAAGAGTGAAGGTAATTAATAAATGCAATCTTACTGCAAGCATGTTTGCCCAGTTTCCTATGTTCATTGTAAACGAATCCTCATATGGAAGCTACCGAATATCATACAAGATGATTCAATAAAATTAAAAAGAAATGATATTTCTTACCTGGAGTGATTTTCTTCATATATTATTATATATCAAGCACATCACATTACTAATTACATAAATGACTGAGCGTCATTACATTTTCGCAACCCCATTGGTGAATGAGTTGATTGTAGCAACAATAACAAACATTGTCGATTAGTCTTCTTAATCTTAAAGATAATTTACATTACAAGGATTGAGATTCATTTTTGAACCTTATTTTCTGTATTTTATGTTCTTTCTTGCCTTTTTGTTGGGATAATAGTTTGTTTTTATTTTTTATTCGATTGTATATGTGTAAGGTTTTCTTTTGTTTGTTTGTTTTTTTTTTTAAATAAATTCACTCAATTGAAAAAAGTCATAAGTAACCAAAACAGAAACACGTAAATGGAATATAGTTCTGTTGTTGTGTATTTATTGCATTTTTTTTTTTTTTTTGACAAGCATATATCAAACTAAATTTTATCCCTTACCGCAAGAAAAACATGGCAGGGGGTTCGAAAGTGTAAAATCGCCAATGATTGATTTAAATTTTAAGAAATCACATAGTATGAAGATTTTTTTTTTTTTTAGTGATTTCTCCCCTAGTGGGATTAATTGGCAATGCATTACATGAACTAGATCATTATTTACATTTATAAAATTAAAAAAAAAATGACATTTGTGATCTCGAGAACTGATTCTATGATATTTTTGAGAAAAAAATCGTTATTTCGTGTCGCAGGACCTAGTCTAAAATTGCAATATTGCTTATGTGAAATTATTTTTGGCAGCGCCTCCATTCGATCTTGGAATATTGAGACACACTTACATATAATCGGTGGAGCTGCTCTGGTTTACGTAGCATTTAGATTTTTACAGGCTTGACTTGTTAGTCAACAGCGCACTTTGATTTAGATTAAAAATTGTCCTTCTCCCAAACTGGTTGCCAACCACAATACTATTTAACCTATTGGTTGTTTTATTGTTGTATTATGAGGCATTGTTACTTTCTTTTTATTGATTTGTCAAACAAATATTTTTATTATAGGATAGAAAAGATAATGTATAGATTTTTTTACCCTGTGATCTTTGTCAGGGTATCAAAGATTACATTATTCCATCAGCTACACCAGTTCCCATGAGTAGTCAAAATCTACACTATTTATATATTCCCTTATTTACTTTAAATACACCCTGTATGCTGCGACTTTTTTCCTTGTCTGTTATTCCGTGACTCTTATATAATCTGATTCTAGACGTAGTAATATACCCCATTCTCTATTCATTCATGTGCACAACGTTTAAAGAAATGAAGATGGCAAATAATCTTATATATTCAGCTACATACTTAACAAAAGAGGGTCATGGATGAAGTGATCAAAGTATCGTCTCATTCACATTGGGTAATATGATAGGATGACCCTATATATTTCGTCTTCTCAAGAATAAGCAAATGTACATCACTATGTGAATTTGCCCCCTGTGTAAGTTTATCTTTGGGTCGACATGAAAACAAGAATGAAATTCTCAAAGGTGACATTGCATTTTTATTAAACACAGCCTTCGTCAATTACAATCGGCCAGATTTTCCAAGCCCTCCTTCCTCATGTGTCCCAGAAATTTTAACTGTCCCTTCACGAGTTTCCTTTTTGTTTATATTTTTTCTAAAACTTCATCGTTATCCACATGTTCTGTCCATGGTACCCTCAACATCCACCTATAGAACCAAGTTTCTGTGGCTTCAAGTCTGTTCTACATCTTTCAGGAGATTTTCCAGCATTCACTGCCATATTAATACAAGAAAGAAATATCAAAGTAAAGGAAGAATATATTTTGAGGTGAAGAAATTTTAAAATTTCCTTTTAAACATTTCACTCCAAGCGAAGCAATAAAGCCACAAAAGACTACCGAATGTGAAAAATGAGAAAAAGTAAAACATTATTTAGGAGGGAGAACAATAAATGAACAGGAAGTAAGACAGAAGATAACGATTGACACTGATCTTCAGAAACTACAAAGTTAATTGGAAAGCGAAGGGGCAAATGTCTGTTCCATAAGGAAGATATTATTTACATAGAACGTATGGTTAAATCAAACAATTTCAACATTAAATGAGACAACTATCAATCTAGTAGGGCGTTAAAATTAGTAAAGTGATGGTACCAAAACGGAAAGCTCATCAGGTCAATTGCTATAAATTTGTTTACAGAAAACAGAGTAAGCTACGTTAAGGCAGTGAAAAAGTGACTGAAACCGAGATGCTAGGTCAAGACTTAACATTGCAGATTCTTTGGATTTTATCAAAAATCTCTAAATACATAGGAAAAGCTCCAAACCAGATGTAACAGTAATGCATGGACGAATGTTAGACATAAATGTGTAAAATAGATTCTGCTGGAAATATTTTCTACTACGACACAGTGAACCAACTTTCCGAGCTACAGACTTAGTAGTTGATTCAATAACATTTTTCCACTTCATGTCTGGAAAAATGTTAGGCCGAGAAAGGGCAATGAGGGGGTTAGCATTAGGCATGCCGACGAATAAAAGAAAGAAGTTTCGTTTTGGAGGCGTTAAAATTAACAAGCCATTTCTTGCACCAGTTAACAACAGATAGTCTTTTTTAGATCAGTTGCCAATTTGATCTTATCGAACCACTTGGACTTATAATTAAGACAAGATTAAATAGTTGAGAATTGATGACATCAGGGAGGTAGTTGATGAAAATTAAGAACAAAGCACCCCCAAGGATTAATTCCTGGATGACATATGCATTAATGTGAAAAGATCTAGAATAGTGTCCGTTGAAAGAAATCTACATTTTGTGATTTGATAAGATTTAATCAAATCAAAAATTATTGCAGAAATACACCAGTGAAGGAAAATGAAACGTAACAGAAAAAAAAAATTGACTGAGAGCAAAAGCGCAAAAGTGAAGACGACGATGAATCAAATGAATGCCGAGGAGGAAAAGAAGAGAAAAAAAAAGGACAAAATTAGCAGAGAATGGAGGATGGGAAAGATAGAAAGAAGAAAAGATTAAAGGATGATTAAAATGGGAGAAGAAAGATTTAGAAGAGAGATGAAATAAAAAATGAGGGGAAAAGGGGACTAGAAAATAAGATAGAAAATATGGTCAATATTAAAATAAGATCAATATTGAAATTGGTCAAAATTTAAATAGGTGGAGAAGGAAAAGGAGGATAAAATTACAAAGTGGGGGAAAAGCAGAAAGTTGGGAAGAATGGGAGAGTAAAAAAGACTAAAATGAAGAACATTCGAAGAGAAAGAAATGCGTGACGGGGATTAGAACAAGAAAAAGGTACAATTGAAATCGGAAGTTAAAATTGAAGGCAAAAATTTAGACAGGAGTAAGAGAAAGTGAATGACCTTTTAATATGGAATACGAATAAAAAGATCCAGAATATGTGGAGTGGGAGGAAGACTAGAATATAGAGAAAATATCGTAAAACTCAAGGTAGGTGTAAAACTAAATGGGTGGGGGAGGTTGAAGTGAACAAAAAGCTGGTGACCGTGGAAGAGAGATTAGGATGAGAGAAAAACAAAAAGGAAGAACGCGAATGGGTAGGTAAGTTTAAAATGAAAGCGAAGGAAATCTCAGAAAAGACATTAAGATACAACAGATGATAAAAAAAAGCATAAAAAATGAAGACGACAACTTAAAAATTAACGATAAAGTGACGAGAAAAATTAAAGTATGCGTGAAGAAAGGCGAAGAGGAAAGACGAAAGGCGAAGTGGAAAGACGAAAGGCGAAGTGGAAAGACGAAAGGCGAAGAGGAAAGACGAAAGGCGAAGAGGAAAGACGAAAGGCGAAGAGGAAAGGCGAAGACGAAGAGGAAAGACGAAAAAGAAGAAAAAGGAAGACGTAAGAGAAAAGCAAGAATTAAATAAAATATTAAAAACAATACTGGAAAGACAGAAGAAAGAGGAAAATATGACGTATTTTCAGAAAATATAGAAACGTCAAAGGAGAACAAAGTGAAGGAGGTAAAAAAAAAAAAAAAAAAGTTGATGCAAGTTGGGAAAGTTGTAGGAGTAAAGAAAAAATAACACACGTAAGAGTGTAACGTTTTGAAAAGACAAAATTGCCGTCGTAATTCACAGACGCCCACCATAAAAAAAAAAAATGGAAGAAAATCCGTTAAAAAAAAATAAAATAAAAAAAATAAAACTGTATCTTCTTCGATAGAAAATAACACGAAGAGGCAGGCCTAATTTCTTCCTAATAACCATTATTGGAACACAGAAGAGCATTTTTGTGACAACCAAAAAGCGGTACCTGCTCTCACTGCCACCACAAGGCCGATCATAACGCAAAGAAAATGTTACACAATACATCCATACATACGCATTATATATATATATATATATATATATATATATATATATGTGTGTGTGTGTGTGTGTGTGTGTAGAATGTTTAAAAGAAAATTATACGTGAGAGAAACAGGAAAATTGTCTCCGAATAACAGTAAACAGAACTGCACAAAAAATTGGTTGAAATTTCCTATTTTTAGTATTTTTTTTTTTCAAGTTTATCTCTGGAACCGGAGAAATATTTTGTTGTCTAACATTTGTAGTACTATGTGATAATAATAATAATAATAATAATAATAATAATATGAAGATTTATTAAAAGAAAATACTAAATTAAAAAAAAACAACTGAATTTCAACGGATATTAAAGAAACTCATTGGTATAAGAAACATTTCAGAGCACACATACTAAACTTTGTTGTAATATTAATAAAATCATTAGCCTAGTTAGGCACAAGGCTAAAACATGCAGTAGTTAGTACTTATCAAACTATTATTTCGTGTAAGTAGCGAACTGATGTTTACTCTACTAGCAATGAATCTGCGCATATCTTGAAGTATATACATAAGTAAATCTAAACAACACAATGACCAAGTAAAAAGACAAAGAACACGTCGCTGTTACAGGAGATAGAATGAAAGCAAAGTAGAATCGGAATTAGTTCACTATTACACCAATCTCATCCTCGCCTATTTTTTATGCTTTTTTTTTTTTTAGTCAACCGGTCAATGACGGCGAGGTAAGGGTAGAATTTATCATACCCATTAAGTTAAGTGTGACGGGTGTAATAACTTTTTACATGAAAATATATAAATCGAACAATTGTTAGCAAAATGACTAAGAACGTCAAACGGAGACAGAATCTAAGAGGATCAATTATAAGGATATCTCCGTCGGTTGAGGCAATGGAGATGGATTCCACTGCGTTCATCTTAATATTATACACAAGGAATAAGGCGAAAATTCAACCACACTGATGCACAATCGAGTTCCACTATTCCTACCATCATTACAAACACACAGAAGGCATTTCAAGATCCGAGAAATATTTAACGTTATTACAAAGATAATAAACACACAACAAAACAAGTAATTTGACAAATACTTACCATTAACAAATGTCTATGAATTCGTTGGACCACCTTGGAGTGTCTCTTTAGCACTAATAATTAAACCAATACATACACTGGTTACACAATCACGGCATTATCGCGCCGATTAACGTGGAATTTTTTTTATAGGTCATGGATATCAAATCTCACCAAACAGAAATCACAGCAATAATCCAAAGTATCCTCATAAATGATACAAAAATACTGTATTATTGGACCTGTAAAACGAGACTGGAAATACTTCAAGCCGATAAATAAACTATTTCAATAAAATAAAATTTACTAAATATATTTAATAGATAATAAAAATGACAACGCGAACATTGAAAATTGTGCTATGTAGATTTTTTTTTAACCCACCGAGTTATGAATGTGTGTTTAACTAGGCAATACGTTATTAAGACAAACATTATTTGCAATTACAGCTTTCAAATATAAAGACACAGACCCTTAATAATAATAATAAATTATATGTTCACTTACCTTTTCTTCACTTAGGCATCCGATCACCTAGGAAATTTATAAACTTGAATTTATATTCAGAAATGACCTCGATTTATTTTCTTTTTAAAGGGTTTTATTTTGAAGTAAATTTAGATGAATGGTTTCATTAAGAAATATTTAGAAATTTCAAATATATCTCACATCTAATAAACCGAAAATGTGAACAGCCTTTCACTAGATGAACGAAAATATCAAAAAATAAAAATAAAAAAAACACTAAGGCGTATGGCTATCGCAAAAGAAAATGTTTAGCTACACATATAATTCAAATCGGAAGTCTCATTAATATCAAATCTCGTAAGGAAAATTAAAAATATTTTAGAAAAAAAATATATTCTGAAATTAAAATCAACTGTACAGACAAGTCTCTTGATGAGTGGATGGTATCATCGGAGACACGAAATCAGTGAACAAATTGTGTATATATATATATATATATATATATATATATATATACACCCTTGGGAAAGGTATGAATCCTCTTCCTCCCGCTATGGGTAAAATAGCAGGACAGACTGGGTTCTTTAGCCATGGAAGGCAACTGGTCTAGGAGAAGGACAACTCTGAATTCAAAAGCTGCGGAGGGTCGTTTGGGAACCTTGTGGCATTCGGTGCACCAGGTCTCTGTATTCGTCCCTTCAAAAAGTGTGGATGGTCCTGCACGAGGCCTTCACCATTATAATCAAATGTCATGTGCCGGTGTCGGTTTACTGGAAACTGATGTGCTTGACCCTCATACGTCGAATCTCGACGGGAGAGTCGATTATATATATATATATATATGTTGTGTGTGTGTGTGAAAACATAGAAGTTAACACTCATGTTTCATGCCAGTCGCAATCGTCAGGCCACGAGTGTTCACTTGTATTTTATTTACTCTATCTCTGATATTGAGCACTCTATCCCATAAATATAAGTGTACCTTAAGACTATATATATATAATATATATATATATATATATATATATAATATATATATATATATATATATATATATATATATATATATAATATATATAATATAATATATATATATATATATATATATATATATATATATATATATATATATAATATATATATTATATATATTATATATAATATATATATATATAATATATATATTATATATATATATATATATATATATATATATATATATATATATATATATATATATATATATATATATATATATATATTATATATAATATATATATATATATAATATATATGTGTGAATATTTTTTATCCTACGTTATCTAATACTGTAAATGTTACTTTTAATCGGTACACGCGTTTGAGTTACTGTTTGTGTATTTTGGTGGGAGGTTAGACCCAAAAGTGCTACTAAAGAAAAATTGTACCTCCCGACAGGAATCGAACTGCATCCGTTTTCCCTTCAGGCAAACCCGACCATAGGATTCACGAATCAAACATGTATCATTTTTTTCCTGTCAACATTGAAGACAGAGCTAACATCAAATTTATGGTAAAACTTGGTTGGAAGACTGAAAATATTATTGGGGCTCTGGGAATTGTTTCTAGAATACTGTCCCCCATAAGAAATCAGCAATTTACAAATGGATAACTTGTTTCAAATAAGGACAAGACGGAGTTGAAGATAAGGAACAATTCGGCAGCCCATAAACCTCAGCTTGAAAATCGATGCTGTTTAATAGTAACTGCAGTGATAATTGCTATCACATTAGATATCATTGGTGGAAAAACCCAGATCATTTTATGTGTAAAAATTAAATCTGAAAAATACTTCCGAATCAGAAACAGATATTGGCTGAATTTGACAGGTAATTTTAAACAAATGGTAAGTAAAAAAAAAAAAAATATATATATATATATATATATATATATATAAAAAAAAAAAAAACTGAAGGCTTTATGAAACAAATTAACTGGAGATGAAATTTTGCTTTGCCAGTGAGATTCCAAAGACAATTACTCAATGGTGTTAAAGGTTCAATCAAAACAAAAGCAAGCGGATAAGAAACCAAAAAGTGATTGCGAAATTGTTCCTAGATGCGGAGGGCATTTTGCTAATTGGAATTTCGGTGATAAAAAGAGACAATGGAATCTGTTTATTAGAAACGTTGTTTTAGAAGATTAGCTAAAGATTTATTTTGCAAAAAGCGGCATGAAAAACATCATCAGATAATCCTTAACCAGCCAGACAATGCTCCTTACTCTGAAAACAATAGAAACATTGCAAGAATTTCGATTAGAAATCAATACACATCTACATTACATTCCTGATTTCGCAGCTTCTGACATTATTGCTTAACTTTACAAGATGTTTGAAATGAGCCCATTTTGAGATTATATTCGAAGTGAAAAGGATTCTTTTCGTAGTGTTAAATTCTCACAACACTTAGTCCTTCCGGTATTATACAGATGTCTGGTAACTTCGTGTTCCAATATATCTTCACGGTGGAGATAAATCTTATGTGAAGAAATGAATTAAAATGAAGTTTTCCTTTTAATTCTTTTTACACAATCTTGTATACTCTTTCTCACAAACACACACACACATATATATATATATATATATATATATATATATATATATATATATATATATATATATATATTGACACTTACACAAAAGTATTTTCGAATTAAAACATCCATAGTATTAATTATATTTTTATATATATATATATATATATATACAGTATGTATGTGTTTATCTATATATGTATGGTGGTGGAGGAGGTCAAGAAGTTAAAAACTTGTCTAATCGATTATAAGATCCGTTAAAAGTTGTTCTCAATTATCCGGCGCCCACTACATAATGCAGAGTTAATATCTACATAAAATTATTTACTTTTAATAAAAATGGTGGGATTCGATTAATTCGCTCAATAGAAATTATTAATTCGAACAAATATTTGGATTTCATTTAAATGCATAAAGCTGTCAAACTGAAATCTTAAATCATGCTATACTTAAGGCAAAAGGTAAGTAAACATCAATATTTCTGTAAATTTTTCTTCTGTAACACGTCGACGCAACGAATTGCACATGTGAGTTTACCTTAGTCTTTTTTTTTCATGTTTATTATACGACTTATCACTAAGGACGACTTAAAATGCAATCTCTAAGCCTGATTATGGATACAACCTATTTAATTGTTGATGTGTATGTATTAAAGATCTTTCCAATATCACTGACAGAGAATAAGTTACAAGCACCTTGCAATTACAATATGAACAATAAAAATTCTACCTAGCAAAGGCTCTCTTGAATTGGTATCCAATAAGAATAATGCGTGAACCAGTTAAACAAAAAAAAAAAAAGATTTTAATGCTAACGTATTTGATTTTTTTTTTTTTATACGTCGGGTAATTTTTTTATCAAAATGTTCTATTAGATTTTAATTAAATCTAGTACGGGTTTCACCATATTACTTCTAATACAAATTACCTATGTTATATAACATATCCTTCTAGGATGTGGGCCATCATGGATCTCCACAACCTCCGTTTTTAAGTAACTAGCAGTAGAGCCCGGCGTTGCCCGGGGATGTAGCAGTAAGAGATAGATCAAGTATCGACCATCATAAAGACTGAAAAGTAAAATTGACAAAGATTATTGTTTAAGGTTGACGGACACGCATGTCTTAATTAGTTTTTTGTTTTGTTTTTTTTACGAATTGGTCAAACCCAAACTCAAACAAAAACATTGTTTTCAATCGTTATGAGTCTATCGATTGAATAGAATTTTATTATAAACAATTGTCTTGTAAATGAAATTTTTAAAGCATTCTGAATGTAAAAATAAAGAAAATGTGTGCAAGACAATAAGAAACACTACCTGCCAAAAGAAAGTGAAATTTTGTTGAAATCGGTTGAAAAATGTAGGAAATCCGATCCTATATATAAACGAACACACACACACACACACACACACAAACAACCTGGGTTTTATAATAAGTATAACTCGATATGAGTTGTCCCCCTCTCATTCTCGCGGTGCCTCTTAATCGTGTTTTCAAATTGATTTCGTGCAAAATCAATTGTGTTTTTCCAATTTTGGACGCTGTCAGAACCACCGTAAGGTAATTTTACGTAGTCCAGTGAAGGTTTGTTGAAATCGGTTGAAAAATGTAGGAAATCCGATCCAATATATAAACGTACAGACACACACACACAACCTGGGTTTTATAATAAGTATGATTTTACCTCAAACCTGATCTGTTGGTCTATTTTTTAGCCAACTGTTCACTTCAACTTGTACGCGACTCCATCCTTCTTTGTTGCATCTGTTTCAATATGTCCTGTGAATGTGAAATTCTTCAAGCCATCTTACTTAACTACTTAATGAAGCAAAGTGCTCAAACAAAAAACGTTTAACATTAAATCTCGTGAAACGGTGGTTCTTCTAGTCGTAACTAGTTTTACGCACACGCGATCTACAGATATATTTGATTGGCAATGAAATCAGGAAAGGCCGGTTTTATATAATCCTTGAATTAAAAACATAATATAATTTTATAAAATAAAAATAACAACAATAATAATATATTGCTCTACTTTATATTGAGCACTTTTTTAAAAAGTAAATGCAGTGGAATTTTACTCCTCCTGTTCTTTCTCACATTTGGAGATTATATATATATATATATATATATATATATATATATATATATATATATAATGCGCGTGTATGAATTACAATTAATTAGATCCAAACAATTTACCTCATACAGATGACCATTTCGTTCATGGGGTAAGAAATGTTTCCCTAGACTTATCAATGCAAATACATTTACTAAAATGAATAAATTCCCACGTTTCTTCACAGGAAAATTAAAAATCAAAGGAAGGAAAGAAGAAAAGAGGATTAAAAATGGTCTTGTAATAGAGGAGTGAGTTATATATAGATAGGGTAGGAGCATAAAGTGGTTATGGTGGAATCGGTACAGATGAATGCGACTGTTGAAAATGAACGCTGACCCAAATGTAACCGATCAACCCCTGTGCAAGGAGAAAGAATGAACAAAAAGATGTCATAAAAAATTCCATAGAGGAGTTAAAAGATTATGGAATGGGAATAAGAATTTAAAATTGATACTTTTATAAAAAATAAATATGTTAATATTAATCCTACATCTTTCACTATATAGTAAAAAATACAGTAAAAAATGTTATATAAATTATTAATATATTAATTTCATTTAAATATAACCAATCTCATTGTATCAATACTATTTCAAATATTACATTTATAATTTAAATCATATCAAATTTATACCAATTATTTAAAGATTCTGTAAAGATTAAATTTAAATCTAATATATAAAAAAGAAAAATTAATAATATAAGGTAAGCAAAAAGAAGCTAAAGGGAAGATAGTATATAAAGGAATTAAAAACCTTATAGGGCGAGTAATGTATGTGAAAAATAGTCGAGTTAAGGGGGGGGGCAATTAAATATAGAAGAAAATTCCACATACGTAAAAGAATTAACAGGGAGAGAAATATTTAAATATAGAAGCAATTTCTCATAGAAAAAATGTACTTGTAGAAAAGATGTAATAGGAAAAAAAAATCACATAAAAATATAAATTATAGAGAGGAATGCGAGATTCGTTTGATACTATTTGTTCCTGGGGTGACACTTGGAGTGTGGAGTTGAAATAATATTATGTCAGTTGGAATTTTTTTTTCTTATGGCGACACTTGGATAACAATTCATTCCTTTTGTTTAGTAGAATATCTTGATTCTTAAATTTAATGATTTTAATTTTCTCCTCCAAATAAATTACTTCTACCCTTAAAGATATTTGGAGTCTTGGAATTTATAGGTTTTGCTCAGTTATTTTGATAGTTCAGGTCTTTCTCACACATTTTCTAAAATTTCTGGGAGATAGTAGTTTCGTGTTCTAGTCTTGGGCTGGAGAAAGAGTGTTTGTGGTTATAAAATCTTTTTTTTTTCCATTCCCCCGCAGAAATTCCTATATATATATATATATATATATATATATATATATATGTTTGTGTGTGAAGACAGTGTTCGACACAAACCGGCGGAAGTCTGTTTTATGCATGAATGAAGTTTTAGGCTATGATAAATGCATTCAAGCCTGAAAGAGACTTATTTCCCCTCGGTGTTGACCTCAGTGGTTACTTTTATATTTACATACACTCCATCTCTGAACCACTTCTACACATAAATATGCATATCTTAAATTTATTGGAAGTTCAAGACCCTAACATGTCCTGCAGGAAATAATCGTAAATCTTGGTGTATTTGTTTTTATATATATATATATATATATATATATATATATATATATATAATATATATATATATAGTATTTAAATCATTTAATCATAAGTATAAAAAACAAAATGCCACCAAGACAAAAGGGATGAAAGAAGAATATAAAATAAGGAAAAACTATTTAGAAAAAAAAAATTGTATAGAACTTTAGGTTATAACTTAACTCCAACTGCCATTTTAGTAGAGCGCTTAAATTTATGAAATCGAGATACCAAAGAAGCAGCTCATCAGAACAACTACCATTAAAAGAAGAGAAGATACAGCAGTGTTAAAGATGCCAGCCCAGTACCGATAACATTGCAGATTCTTTGAATATTATCAAGAATCTCTAAATACATAGAATCACCAAATCAGTGTATGCGTGTTGATTAATTTATTTTTTACTGCTTATCAAAAATTTTTCAGGTTATTTGATATCAGAAAATATTTTTAGATTGTAAGATTTGTTTGGAGATAATGATTTACTGATATAAGTCTTACTAATTAAGCCATAGCTGGAGAGTGAAAACGTGGATTCATACTTTTCCCCATGGGTATTTGAGCGAAAGTGAATATAGCGAACCTGACTGGAATTGGAGGTCTTGTCTTCGACTTACAATTCCGAGCAGTTAAACATTACACTAACTGCACATGAACACTTACACCTGGCATTAACAAGTGGTTACCCATCTAGGTACTGACCAGACTTAGCGTTGTTTAACTTAGCCATGTATATACACACACTCACTATAATAAACAAAGTTTTTAAATTCTCGATGCCCTCTATATGAAAATCAACCAACACTCAACAAAATTTATCATGAATATAGCAAGAACATTCTAAAGTGCATATAACATTAATGCCGTTTTATATTTCTATCAATTTCCGGTCAGCTCCCTTGTATAAAAATGCTTGTTTTGAAAAAAAGTTTACACAACTACAACGGATAAATTTAAAATATGAAAATAAATATAACAGAGCGTGTTATTAAAACTCTCCATCACAACGGAATGCAGATTTCATCGCAGTTACAATAAGTTTGTCTTTGTAAATTTACCCCCGAAGATGATCTCCGAAAAGATCGAAAGTACTTGGGTGGGATGAAACAATGGCGCCTTCTTTAATGAATTTCATCTTAACATCATGAAACTGATTAGAGACTGGAAAGTGTAAGCATAAAAATAATCGACGCAATATGCCTATATTATTCAAGGAAGCATGTTTGAATGAAGATATGCTGCTTAAATGTACTCACACAAATATTATATTATATATGTGCGTGTCTCTGTGTGTTTGTAAGTGTGTAAGAGAGAGAGAGACTAAGACAAAAATTAAAAAAATTGTCTCCAAGCAAAATTATACGTAGCAATAAAAAATTATTTCCAACACCGTTGTGCGCACAAATAATTAATTACATTTTGCTTCTATTTTTTATACTATGTAAATACATGATTTCCTCGAAGAAAAATATGTAAGGAGATCAATGAAAAATTATAGAATTTGTACGTTCCACGTATAGTTTCACGTGCGTCTCTGCCTTGTGTGTGTGTGTGTAATTTATTTAGATTCCTAAATGTTTAGCCAATGTATTTATTGGGATATTTTTCACAAGCTGCTTCGTACATTTTTGCTTTAGATTTCATGTTATTGTGTTTTGTGTTAAATCTTATTCTGTTACCTTCAGATTAGATTCATTTTTTTTTTTTGTCGTCGTTATAGAGTTGATCGGTAATATTATGTGCCTCGATTTATTTCTTTTAAGTTTTCCTCTTTGCACGAGCGTGTGTGGTCAATGGACAATCTTAAAATAATGCCATATCTTATGTATTTTTCAAAGGAAAACAACAGATACATGATTCACAATAACATTGATAAGAATTTTTCTGCTATCACAGTACATATTCGCCACAATTGGTAATGAACAATTGATGAGGAATTAGTGAGGAATCTTGTCTCAAAATGTTGACCCCATCTCGTCAAAGATGATGAGGCTCTGAAAACTGTAATTTTTAGTCTCGTAGATGTTCAGCAGATTCTGCCAGTTTTAAATAGGGTGAGTTTGCTGTTGACATTTTCTTATAATCCAACGTTTGGGAGGGGGGTTCACAGTTTTCAACGAATTGAAGCCGACATTTAGTTCCATACTCAGTTCATGAATCTAGTTTCGCGCGAATTAGGCGGTCTCTATACACCGGGAATTAGTAGCTGTGCATTATCGCACATGGACATAGCTTGTCAGGCACATCGCGGTAGTCAGTACCAAATATCATTAAGCCATTCCACAATACTGTATTCACATTGACTCTCTGGTCTACATAACCATTCGGCAAGAGTTGTTGAATAACAATGTATTTTTTCGCATATCTTTTCATGTGCCATTTCCTTTCAGGACGTTCAGCTCTCAACAATTTTCTTCACACTACTTCATCCCACAGAACACGTCCTGTCATCCACTTGCGTTGTTTTCCCTCGTCTCTCTTTCCCTCTATTCGACTCGTGAGTATCAGATTCTCCAGGCCCTCTTTCCTCATGATGTTTTCAAGAAACTTCAGCTGCCTCTTCTTGATATTAAGTATAAGTGTCCTCCTTGTTTGCATCTCGCAAAAACCCCATCGTTGCTCGCATGTTTGGTCTATGAAATCCTTAGCATCCTTCTCCTGGAGTTTTTTTATCTTTGAGAAAATCATCCAACATTCGCGGCCGTAAAGGGCGACAGATGTCACCTAACAGCTCAGTATTCTTTTCTTTGTTACCAAAGAAACTATGGCTTATAGTTTTATGGCAGGCTATATTCATGCGTTAAAGTGTTCAATATCAGGGATAGAGCGTATGTTAATATAAAAGTCAGGTGATCAAAGTGGGTCAGCGGAGGACACACATCCCCGGTGACATTTTCTCCCTTTGATTTCAATTTAAGTGAGGAAATGACTCCCAGGGTATCTTAATCAAAGCAGATCCCGGGGAAGGAGGAACAAACACTCCGCTGACTTTTTTTTCTTTGATTTAAATTAAATTTAAACACGGGAGTGACTCCTATCCAAAATATAGGAGAAAACCAGAAGATGGCGGTCACATCGGCAAGATCAAAATGAGAATATGTACGCCAAGTTGAGCAAGAAATCACCAATCAGTAATTAGTGCCTAACAATACTTATTTGTTGCGACAATTCAACTGTCATATCTATGAATGAATTGATGAGTAAATTTCAATAATCAGGTATTGCACCAAATACATATTAAAGAGGTCAGAAAATCTGTTCTTGCGCAAATCCCCCACTGATTTTTCGCTTTGATTTAAATTAAATTTAAACAAGGAAATAACTCATATCCAAAATATAGGAGGAGAAAGCCAGAAGATGGAGGTCACATCAGCAAGATCATTGAGTAACATTAAAATACATCATTTTTCTCTACAAATTATAACAATGATTTAGAATCAATAATCATTTTCTTACATACGCAGCCAGGCGCGGGTAATTCGGCTAGTTTGTATATATGAAATATTAGAGAAAACGCCGGAATTAACTGAAGTTTCATAAACATCAAAAAGACAAAAAATTCTTGACAACTGTAACAACAGCGGAAATAACTCAGATCTTTAAAAAAATATATAACAGACAGAAATCAACTTTT